GATTTTCTCTTGTTCTTCTTTCCACATCTCACGGCGGTTTTGTCGGCGGAGTTTTTTGCGTTCTTTTTGGGTGAGGAAGACCGGCATGTAGACAGGTTTCAATGGATCAGCTGAAAAATGAGAATAAAATGACTAAAAATTAAGTAAATTTTAAGTAAAAGTGGAAAAATTTCTATTTTTTACAATTTTTGATTAATAACTTTTGAATTAAATAAGTTGCAATAACAATTACTTCAAATAATTGTCCAGAATTAAATTCTGTTTTTATTAATGCAAAGATTTTGTGGCTAACTTCTTTCTGTAAAAAGTTATAAACAATTTTATAACAAAAAATGAAGAAAAATCTACTAGTAACGAAGAGTTCTCGTTTTTTGCAGTTTTTGATTAATAACTTTTTAAATAAATAAATTATATGAACAATTCCTTCAACAAATTGTCCAGAATTAAATTCTGTTTTTACTAATGCAAAGACTTTGTTGCTAACTTCTTTCTGTAAAAAGTTATAAACAAATTTGTAACAAAATATGACAAAAAATCGAGTAATTCTCGTTTTTTGCAGTTTTTGCTTAATAACTTTTTAATTAAACAACTTTTCGTACCAATTCCTTCAGTAAATTGTCAAGAATTAGATTCTGCGTTGATCAATGCAAATATTTTGTTACTAACTTCTTTCCATAAAAAGTTATAAACAAATTTGTATCAAAATATGATAAAAAATCGAGTAATTTTCGTTTTTTGCAGTTTTTGCTTAATAACTTTTTAATTAAACAACTTTTAGTAACTATTCTTTCAATAAATTGTCAAGAATTAAATTCTGTGTTAATCAATGAAAAGATTTTGTTTCTACCTTATTTCTATAAAAAGTTATAAACAAATTTATAACAAAAAATAAATCGATTCAAAGTGTAAAAGTACGCGTTTTCTGCAGTTTTTCATTAATAACTTTTAAAATAAATAAGCTACAATAACAATTCCGTCAACAAATTGTCCAGAATTAAATTCTGCGTTAATTAACGCAAACATTTTGTTCCTAACTTAATTCGTTTCCAACTTATAAACAAATTTATCCAAAAAAAAAATTTAAATTTACTCACTTGGACATCTCATCTGTGTAGGATGCTCCACCAAACTATTAATAACATTCTCCTTGATCGCAATCTTCTCCCCCTTCATCGTATACAAATCCTCTTCAAGAATAACCGAATCCCACCACTCCATCTCCGGAATATCCTCAGTCAAACCCTCACTCTTCGCAATCAACGCCAATTTCGTCGCTGAAGAAATCCCAGTCTTTTTCGCAATCTGCGAAATTTCATTCTGTAATTTTTCCAGTTGTGCTTTCATCCGCAACCTCTCCGCTAGCTGAGTAAACTTGCCAGGTTCATGAAACCTCAACGCGCGTTTTGTGCGCATGGCAGGCTTAACACCAATGCGCAAATCAAAGAATTTCGTCTCATTCGAATCATCATTATGTTTATAACTCCCTGCGGATTTGTACTGTTCCTTTTTCTGCGCGCGAATATTCGCCTTCAACGTGGGCGCAACATGCGTCAACTGTACAGTTTTACCTGTACGATCAACAGTTCTACCTTCATCATCTAAAATCAACGGGGTGGGTTTATCTGGAACTGGGACAGATTGTACAATTGCATTCGCTAAGATTCCACTGCTGAGTTTCGTTTTGATCTG